TTGTGTTATCTTTGTAGGTAATCCAAGAAAATCTGTAGAGGCCTTTAGAACTAATAAGAGAGTTTGACACTATTAGTGAATAAAGGTTCAATCAAAAAATTGACAGCTAATCACTATCAACAATCACTTGGAAAGAGTAATTTTTAAAAGTTAACACATAGTTTCAATAAAAATCATTAAAAATCTAGGGATAAACGTAATGAAAAATATGTCTTAAATGAAAAAATATAAAACTGTAAGAAAACTTAAAACAAGAGGTGTGCCATTTCCATGAATATTTATTTGTTTATTTTTTATTTTTTATTTTAGGGAAGGGTTTATAGGATATTCAGGATCTCATTACTAGATCGGACTGGTAGTGCCCTGCCTGTTGACAGCCTCCCAAGAGCTATTGCTGGCACAGCAGGCCCAGGGCTCGAACCCTCAACCCTTGCGCCTGCTCGCAGGTGCTTTAATCTGCTGAGCTATTTGGCCAGCCCTCAATTTCTTAATATTGTAGAGGCATTAATTTTTCCCAAATGAACTTACAAATTTAATATAATTCCAATCAAAATCTTAACACCTGGCAAGGTATTTCTAAGATTCACATAGAAAAATAAATCTTGGGCTGGGAATAGAGCTCAGTGATACAGTGTGTGCCTGGCAAGTGCAAGGTCCCTGAGCTTGATTCCCAGTACCTAAATAAATAAATAAATAAATACATATAAGATAAATTAAAGATATGAAGAATTTATGACTATATATTGAGATATATTATAAGGCAAAAATTATAATTTAGTATAGAGATAGAAAAATAGACTAGTGCTGTGGAACTGAGATTCCAGAAATAGAATAAGCTATACATGGAAACTTGATAAATAACATAAATTGCCTTACAAACTGATAAGATTGTCCCATAAATGACACTGAATGGTTATCTTTATAAAAGAAAATAAATTAAGATCCTTATTTCACATCCTACTTACGGGCTAGATAAAAGGGAATCAGATTTAATATTTAAATGTGATAAAGAAAAACTTAAAAACCTTTAGAATAAAAATGGGAGAAACCCAGGTCAGGGAGATAGCTCAGTAGAATAAGCACTTGGCCTGGCAAGCGCAAGGTCCTGAGTTCAATCCCCAGTACTGAAAAAAAAAGAAAAAAAGGAAAAACCCCTTTAAGAAATTAAAACATTAAGGGCCAGGGAGATAGCAAGCAAGCAAGGAAGGAAGGAAAGAAGGAAGAGAAAAGAAATTAAAACATTTATACCATGAAAGAAAAGATTGTTACTTTTACCTGTGTTGAAATTTACATTATCAGTACCACAGAGGATGCTATAAACTAAGTTACATTCCTACCACAGATTGGAAATTTACATTATGAAACGTATTTAACTAGAAAGACACAGACTCCAGGCAATATTGAACTCTTACACATCAAGGAGAAAAAGACATCCAACCCTATGGTGAGAGCCCAACCACAACAATGGACAGAAGTGATATGGTGGGGTGGGGGGCTTGCCGGTTAGCTCAGTTGTTTAAGCACCCGCCTGCAGGCTTGTGGGACCGTGATTTGATCCCATGCCACACCACACCCGCCCTTAAGGCAGCCTGAGCCAGCAAAAAAAAATGATATACAAAGCATGCAAGAGGGAACTGAAATAGTATAAACAAATAAGGAGAAACACAGAGCAATGAACATCAAAACACTATTGAAGTACTATTTCTCACCCATAATATAATTAAACTTAAACTTCTACAGTTGGTAAGAATGTGGAACAGTGGGAAGCCACAGTCGGAGCCAATATGGATTCGGTGCCACCCTGACAACTCCACATATATATTCCTAGGAAAATCTCACACATGGGCCCAATGCAATATGTACAGGAAACCTGCCAGTCAGAAGGAAAAGTGGAGTCAAGAGAGTCTCATAGTGGAGACCTCAGCCTGGGTCTGTGACTTGACTTTTCTCTTTCTATTTATAAGAGGGCGATAATAAGCATAACATATGTTATATGGTAGATGATTTCATTTATATAAAACACTAGAACAATTTCTGGCATATAGCAAATACTATTTAAGCCTGTACTTTTATCATTTTGTGAGGAAAAATACAGCAGCATTTGAAACAAATGGCAAAATGTTAAAATTTGGTAGAGTCTGTAGATATAAAATTTGGTAGAGTAGATAAAAAGCCACATATTATATTATCTTTGTGTAAAATATACTCGATTTTTTAATGTAAAAATGCAATAAAGATAAATGGCAAACCAGGAACGCCATGGCAATATGTACAGTAGACTAAAGGATAATAGCCTTAATACCTGTTTATAGAAAGTTTTTGTAAGCAAGCACTCTAATAAGCAGAAAATATAAATAGGAAAATTTACAGAAGAAAATAAAAAGTTAAAGAAATGACCAATAAAACAGACATGTCCTGTTGAGCTAGAGAGGGTGGTAGGAGCAGCATGCCTGGTATTACCACAGTGAGCCCGTCGTGTTCATCCTCTGGGATTGGTTAGAGCAATCCGGAGGATCATTTAGCCACATCCCAGAATCTCGGAAAATGATTGGTGGCTATACCATTCCATTTCCAGAAACTGATCCTATGAAAGGAAAGGGCAGATTGTTTTAAGCTAGATACGTAAAATAGTATTTATTATGGCAATATTTTCAATAGGGAAAATGCCTATCAGAGAATTGGTTAAACTAGTTATGGTATATCTGCACAGAAGAATATGGCTCAACTATTAAATTTTTTTATTAAAAAATTACACTGAAGATTGTATTTAATTAGCATGGGAGGATATTCACAGGGTATTGTGTTCTAAGTGCAGGTTTACAGTGTGTACAGTATGATAGCACTGCAGGCATATTCCATGGTTGAGTTTGGGGCTCCTCGGATGGGGTCTGTCTCAGGGAAGCCATAGCCCTGCTGGTGGGCCTCCTGGCAGGAGGCAGAGGAAGCAGGTCTCCATGCCCTGAGCCTTGCCCCTTGTGCATCTGCTGTGTCTGTAACAGCCCGTGCTCAGGTCTGGTGCGCTTGGCCAATCTCAGCAGCCAGGATAAATGCTGCAGATGGTAACAGACGTCAGCCTCGTGCAGGGCATCCACTTTACATCCCTCAGCTCTGACACTTAGGAACTCCTATGGAGTTACTGGTACACACACACACACACACACACACACACACACACACACAAGCTTTGGAAAGGTGAAGACTGGCCCAGCACCACACAGTAGCAGACCCAGCTTTGTACCCTTTCTCTGCAGGTCTGAAAATTTAAGAGGCACCTCTAACCCACAGCTCCCTTTTTATTAATATAATAAAAATATAAAAATACAAAGCTGGGCATGGTGGCACACACCTGTAATGCTACAACTCTAGATGTGTTGAGCTAGTAGACTGAAGCAGAAAGATCACAATTTTTAGTTCAATTTAGGGACTTAGTGAGAACTGGTCTCAAAATTTAAAAATCACTGGGATCTGGCTTAGTACAGAGGCCCTAGGTTCAATCTCCTCTCCCCTAAAACAGGAAGTTGTGTTGCTTATATACTTTCAGTATATTACAGGGTTTTTTGTTTTGTTTTTACGTGGCCCAAGACCATTCTTCTCTCAGTGGAGCCAGACAACCCAAAAGATTAGATGCCCATCTCTGAGCACATGGCCTTAGAACCTCAGGGACTCTATGGAAGGAGCCTGTCCCAGACCAGACTTCAGGCGCTTCTCAAGCTTGTCTGCGTGTTAGAGTCACCTGAGAGGTCTTGCAAGCTCTGTGCCCCAGAACTTCCTTCCAGTCTGGTGCACCTGGAGTCTCACAGATCCCATGATGCAGGTGTCAGTCATTTCAGGACTCCCTAGGTGTTCCCAGAGAACACCGAAGAAGCACTGCTTAAACTACTTCCCACGGCCTGGAAATGTGGCCAAAATGCAGATTCCAATTCCCTCTGAGTGCTGACCCCAGCAAGGGGCCTCAGCCATGCCTGTTTTCAACTCCCATATCTTCCTGGCTGCTGCAGGCCTGGCACCATTCCCAGAGGAACCCAGTTCTCTCTCCAGCTGTCCCCTCCAGAAGATTCTGCGTGTCTCCTCCCTGCACTTCAGAACAGCCCCCAGATCTTCACCGTGGCCAAGAAGCCTGTGTACAACCTCCTGGCTACCTGCCAGCTGCATCCTCACCAGACAGCCCTCCTATGGCCCTGCCCCCCCAGCCATTGGCACCTTTTGTGGCAGCTGGCAGTGGTGATGGATGCCAGGTCTACCACACCACAGGCCCAGGCCAGGCAGCTTGAGACTGGTGAGTCAACAAACCAGGCCCAGCCCAGCCTCTGTGCTCTCTGGAAGGCCTCCAAGAGAGAGGGCATGCTCTAAACCTTGGAGACCGCACTGGCTCTCCTACTCTTAAAAGCACTAAGTAGGCTCCAGAGAGCCACTTCATCTTCTGGTGCCTCAGTTTCCTTACCTGTCATGCAGGGACAGTTACGCTTTCTCTACTGGACTACTAGACAGGTTAAAAACGAAGCAACACAGGTGAATTCTGGCCCACTGCTTCCAATCGTCAGCTGTTGAGAAACGCTGGCAGGTTGTTATTATGGTGGGAGGAGCCCCGCTTGTGATAATGAGGGAGGGCTTTTCAGGTAGCAGGTATAGCGCGGGCAGACAGTGAGTCACATGTGCCAGGCGTGCTTGTGGGGAATGCATGGATTTTATGTGGGGAGGAGCACCGCCCATGGAAACCCCTGTGGGAGTTTGGGGCTAGGTCTTTGGCCACCTCAGCTTCTGCTGCAGGAGTCTCTGGAGCTGGTGTCCCTGGAGACCCCAGGATGGGCCCAGGCTGCTTTTGAGGGCCAGGCTAGAGCAGAAAGCCATGGCTGAGCAGGTACCATGGGGAGCCCAGATGCAGTCAACTGGTGGCCCTGGAGGAAGATCCTGCCAGGGAAAGTCAGGAAGCAGGGTGCTCTTGCTGACCATGGGGTCTCTCCAACACACACTTCAGGACCCTGATTCCTGCCCCTTCTTAGGTCTTCACAGGGATCTTCACAGCAGAGATGACGTTCAAGATCATCGCCCTCGACCCTTACTACTACTTCCAGCAGGGCTGGAACATCTTCGACAGCATCATCGTCATTCTTAGTCTCATGGAGCTGGGCCTGTCCCGCATGGGCAACCTGTCAGTGCTGCGCTCCTTCCGCCTGGTACTGCTGGACCCACTGCAGGGGGGTGGTGCAGAGGGGAGCCAGGCACATCCCGCTCTGAGGTCACTACTCAGTCTCTTGTTTTGACCTGGCATGCCTATATCCCAAAGCCTTTTGCTAGTGCTTGTCCCTTAATGCCTGGCCCAATTCTGGTGGTATCTGGGAAACTGGTGTTTCTCCATCTCCATTTCATAGATGCTGAGACTAAGGCTAAGAATGAAATGAGTTTCCCAAAGTCATATGCAGGTAACAGGTGGAGCCAAGTCTCCCAACTACTCTTCCAGGACTCTGCTTGCTAGGTAGGCATTTTTAAACTAATGAAGACACAATCACCTGAGGATCTGATTCTTGTCAAACAAAGTGGTAATAGTGCCAACTTCCTATGGTTATTGGGAGTTCTGGAGTTCATCCATTTCACAGGCTGGGCACATAGTAGGTAGTCAGTAAACACCAAGTACCTGCCCGCTTTCTCTGTGAAGAGATGGCTTGAGCTGGCCTGAAGGATTCCTGGTGGGGACAGTTGTATGAGGATGGGCATTCCAGGTTGGGAGAATCTGTTGGGCAGTTCTTAGAAGTGAGAGGAGCCAGGTAGGAAGCTGACACCAAGACAAAAAGAGGGTCTGAGTTGGAGAGATGGGTGGGAGATGTTGGCCTGATCCCCTGAGCAGAGTCCAGTGAGGCCACCCTCAGACTATGCAGAGAAATGGTAGTGTGTGCTCTTTAAGAAATGAGGAGAGATGGGGTCTGTTGACCTCAAGGTTTTCCTGGGCTTTGGGGCAGAGCTGCAGAAGGTAAGGGCATCTGTGGGCAATCAGAGCCAACGCCCCTCACAAGGCCCCTCCTGTCCTCCTTCACCAGCTGCGGGTGTTCAAGCTGGCCAAGTCTTGGCCCACCCTGAACACACTCATCAAGATCATCGGGAATTCAGTAGGGGCGCTGGGGAACCTGACGCTGGTGCTGGCCATCATTGTGTTCATCTTTGCTGTGGTGGGCATGCAGCTCTTTGGCAAGAACTACTCAGAGCTGAGGTACCGCATCAGTGACTCAGGCCTGCTGCCCCGCTGGCACATGATGGATTTCTTCCATGCCTTCCTCATCATCTTCCGCATCCTCTGTGGCGAGTGGATCGAGACCATGTGGGACTGCATGGAGGTGTCCGGGCAGTCGTTGTGCCTGCTGGTCTTCTTACTTGTTATGGTCATTGGCAACCTTGTGGTGAGTCAGCCAAGGGCCTCACAAATACACACCCACTCACCTATCCATCCATCTACCCAGAATTCCATCTGTCCACTGGCTTACATTTCCTTCTGTCCTCTCATTCATCTGGCCATCCATGTATAGAACTATCCACCCAGCCATCAATCTCTCATCCACTCATCTGCCCAACCTTGTTTCTACCCGTCCATTATCCACCCCCCCATGTATATACACTTATCATTAAACCATGTATTCATTTACCCCTTCACTCTTCCCTCTGTCTACTCATCCATACTTCCAACTCACCAGCCATCTGTCCACTTTCCAATCACCCATCACATCCACTTTTCCATTAGTGTCTACTAAGTTATCAATTCTCCTATCCATTTATCCACGTATTCACCCAGTGCTTCATCCATTAACCCCATGTACTTATTCATCCACTCATTTATTCAAGATTTATTCATTAACCACCTATCTATCCAACCCTATCCATTCACATACACATACTCCCCAACTGTTCATCTGTCATCCATCCATCCCCTACTATCCACTCACCCAGTCTACCCCTCCATTCATCTTCCTACGCATCCATTCACTCATGGACCCATCCCATTCATACAGCTAGCTATTCTGTCACTCATTAACTCATCTACCCCTTCACTCACTTCTTTTTTAGCACTGCTGTGTGCTGAACCAGGGCCCCACACCTGGTAGGCAAGCTCTCTACCATGGAGCTACATCCTCAGCCCTAATCACTTACTCTGAATTAATTATATTTTTGCCTACTCATTAACTTACCCACTTACCTGCTTATTTATTCATTACACAATTTTTATTTATTGACAATCATTTTACTGTCAGTTTTAGCTTCAAAGATACCTGTTGAACCCTTCCCTGCTGCATGCAAAACATTGTGCCAGGTGCTGGTTGGTACCCAGAGGTAAACAGGGGCTGGATCCAGCCTGACACTGCTCACCTAGAGGGAAAGAGATGGGAAGTTCAGACAGGTCTGAAATCACCCTCAGACCAGTCAGAATGACCAGAGCCCTTGAAGAAGAGCCCATGGGCACTGTTCCCCTCGTTAGGGAGAGCAAGGGAGACTTCCTGGAAGAAACTCCCCTGAGAAACAGATAATGCCGAAGGGTGAGTGGGCACAGGGCCAGACGGGGAGATTCCGGTGGGGTGGGCCCAGGAAGAGCTTTGCGTGTCGTCCTGAGCTGCTCTGGTGGAGTCTCATCCTGCTCTTCCACCATGAGGAGCCAGGCTTTTGCTCCTGTGGCCACCCATCTGTCCCAATGCAGATATCTCTTACCTTGTATCTTTGCAACATGCAGAATTCCACGGATGAGAGGGATCAAAATCTAAGTGCTTGAGAAGGGGCCGTAGGAAAAAACAAGGCTGAGGTGAGTCAGTAGTTCACGCACAAGTCAGGGTCCCCTGTGGACATGCAGCCACCTTCCTGGACAGACCAGTGGCGCTCGCCCGTACCTACATGGTCTGGTGTCACTGCAGCTGTGTCTCCATCACAGGTGTACAGGGTCACATCAACACAGAGAGCAGTTTCAGATCTGCTTTTCCTGCCTGCTCTGGGGTGAAAACTATGGACTATAGAACTAGAGCCTTTCCCCAGACCTGCCTGCTTTCACTTCCCAGGAATGTGAGCTAGACTAGGCCAGGTCAAGTGGGGCTCAGGCCCTCAGCCCCCCAAAGGAACAAGGACATCAGTGTACAGTACTAACAGAACCCAGCTCTTGGCCGGCCTCACCGCCTCGTCTGTGCCTTCAAGCCAGCTGCCCTGGGTGGAGCCTCACTTAGCCCTGGCCCAAGGCTGCCAGACTGCTCTAAACAGAAGGCAAATGTGTGGGGCTCTCAGGCCAGGCCAGGGCAAGCCAGCCCTCACGCTCAGAGCCCTGCCATTTCCGAGCGGATCTGCCTGCAGAGATTAGAGGATGCTGGAGGAGGGGAGCTAGTGCCGGCCCACACAGCCCCTCCTTGGCTGCCTAGGAATTGGGCTGCTGCCGGCTGCGTGGGTGGAAGTGAGATTGCCATTGAAATGGGAAGTGATGATCAGGCAGGGCTGGAGAGCAGCGTGTGATTGACAGGGAAGCAATGGAAGAAGCTGAGCTTGGAAAGCCAGGGACAAGGGAGGCCTGTGGGTCCTGTGTGGGTGGACAGGACCTCCAGAGGTCCTTTGCTGGGCCCGGAACTCTTGGGATGAGGGACATGGGACCAGACAGGGCTGAAGACTACAGGGGAGGGCCTGGGGGCTTCAGACATAGAGGAGAGCCATGCTTGGTCCTTGCAGACAGCAATCAAAGGCCAGGCCAGAGGTGCATGTAGACAGCAGCTTTGTCCTGCCCTGCAGCAATGACAAAGAAGGAACTGCCTGTTGTCAAGAGTGGTCATCTCTCCCAGAGATTGTCTGGACTACCTGCTCCTTAAAGCTTCCTGTACCAGCTATATAACTGATTATTACATTTTATCCAAAGGCCTGTTTCTAAGGCCTGGCTCTCCCACCTTCCCCCTGCTTGCATCAGAATTCTTACTCCCAGCTTTCTGCCAGGTGTGGTAAGGATACCACTGAGGGACTATAAATCCAAAACAGGCTCAGAGTGAATTTCCAGGGAGAACTGGGTTCCCCTTACTAGCCACGCTGCTGTAGAGTCCCTGTTCAACTGCATTTCCCCCAGGACACCAAGCGCACTGCACAGAGGCTGTGCCCCTGAGCATCAGCCTGGTCATGCTTGAGGTCAGTAACCAGCTGCTGTCTGCACTCACCCTCTGAGAGCCTGGGAAGAGGACCCAAACCCAGCCCCTGTCACACAACAGACAACCTGGTTCTTAACAAAAGCCTCACGCCGCACATGTGCAGGATATTTTGATGACACAGTGTCACAAGCCCCTAACTCCAGTAAGTAGTAACTTTAGGAAAATACTGTGTCTTCCAGAACCTCAGAGCCCTACCCTGCTGCTCTGACCTCAGTAGAATGGACCTTGGAACAAGGGCCAACCATGGCACCAGTCCCAGGTCCCCAACCCTAGTGTTTGCACTCACACACAGCACCCCATCAGGCATATTAAGCTAGACACAGCCACCTCTCTGTGGCCAAGCCCACGATTGGCCAGACACCTAAAGGCCTCTCAGGCCCTCCTGGCCTCTCTACCTGCCATCACCTCTTCTCCACTCAGTCCCTCGCATCTCTTTCCTGGAAAGAACAGTCAGACAGAGGACAGGTAGACAGTGCCCTGTAGCAGCAGCCCCAGTCTCTGAGCAGAGAGCCACTCTGGGGGGAGCACAGAGGCAGTTCTCTGCAGCTGCTTCCCTAACAGGCATGTGGAGCCTTCCCAGAAAGGCCCCTAAAGCTGTGGGATTCTGTCTGTTCCCAGATGCCCTATCTCCTTTGCCACCCCAACCTCATTGCCCTGTTATTCCCAAGACAGCAGGAAGAGGTAAGAGAAAAGGAAGTCTGTGTGGAGAAGCAGCTGGCACCTGACAGGCTCTGCACAACTCTGCCAACCCCTCCAAGTGCCTGCGCCCCACCTCCAGCCTTTGACACTAAAGGGGCCTGAGCTAGGATATAAGGGAACTGGCTCTAGGGGTCCTTGATTCAGACTCTGAGCCCTTGGAAGGATTTGAAGGTGTTTCTCTTTCATAGACAAATCTTCCACATTCAAGAGAATAAGGGCTGGGTGGCAGGATGGAAGTCCAGGGCTCTGGCTTCGAGACTTATAGCTGTTCATCCTGGGCAGTGCTCAGGACCTCTGGCCTCTCAGAGGTCCTATAGAGCTGAGGTTGGCTTGTGGCCCAGCATGGTGCATGGGTGAATCAGCCCTGTCCCTCACAGGTCCTGAACCTCTTCCTGGCCTTGCTGCTCAGCTCCTTCAGTGCGGACAACCTCACAGCCCCTGACGAGGATGGGGAGATGAACAACCTGCAGCTGGCCCTGGCCCGCATCCAACGGGGCCTGCGCTTCCTCAAGCGGACCACCTGGGACTTCTGCTGTGGGCTCCTGCGGCAGCAGCCTAAGAAGCCTGCGGCCCTAGCCTCCTGCAGTCAACGGCCCAGCTGCATGGCCAGCCCCAGCTCCCCACCACCACCGGAAATGGAGAAGGCACCCGCAACCCGCAAGGAAACACGCTTTGAAGAGGGCAATCGCCCTGGGCAGGGACCCCCCGGGGAGCCAGAGCCTGTGTGTGTGCCCATCGCTGTTGCTGAGTCAGACACAGATGACCAGGAGGATGACGATGAGAACAGCTTGGGCACTGAGGAAGAATCCAGTAGGCAGGTGAGCCATGTCCCACAGAGCACTGCTGTCCAGGGCCCTGGCTCCTACCCTTACCTGGATACCTCAGCAGCAGAAGAGGCATGGAGGGGTGTGGTGAAGGCAGAGGGGTGCCAAGGCCGGCTGGCACCCACTCATCCCCTGGCTGGTCATGAACAGCTAGTTGTACAGACAGGGAAACTGAGGCATGGCAATAGTGAGACTTGCCTGGAATTCCTTGTGAATCTAGGTTAGAGCCGGGGCACCCGCCCCCCCGTCCACTGTTCATGCACATTCAGGCCCAACAAGGTGGACTGTCTTGGTGTGGGAGGAGAGTAGTCCCCTGACCTGTAGACTGCCCCTTCCCCTCCTCCAAGCCCAGGGCTAATTCTGAGATTTAAAAATAAGCATCCTAAGACAGAGGTGTCAGAGACTGTACTATCTTATCTCCCAACCTGTTATTTTTAACACTTGGGACCAGTGTCTGGATGAAACAGCCCACCCTGCAGTGTCCCGGCGGCCCGAGCCAGGCTCCAGAGGCTTCTGGGGTCTTCTGGTCAAGCAGCTGTCCTGTTCTCCCCAAGAGTCAGCCAGCTGTGGAGAGCAGTGCTCCCATGCCGTGAGCACAGCCTCCCTGCGGTCCCAGAGGCCAGCCCTGCGCTTGTCAGGGTGGGGCTGCGTGCACGGGGGAGGGGAGTGCAGCACTGCCAAGAGCACAGCTTCCGATTATCTTCTGCCCCGGAGTGGAGTGGAATTCCAGCCGCCCCCCCTTCCCTGCCCTTCCCTTCTGGAGCCTGTTGACTGGCTCCCTGGGGCCAGCACCAGTGTGTGTGTGTGTGTGTGTGTGTGTGTGTGTGCACGCGCACGCATGCACACACACACACGTGTAAACCAGTACACAGGGTGCCTTGGGAGCTCCTGGGGGAAGTCAGTGTGACCCTCCTAAGGGAAGTTGGCGCTCAGCTCACAGATGACACAGGCAGCATGGTGCAGCCACACCCTTCCAGAGGTCTAGAGATGGGATTCATGCCAGGCTGACCAGGGTCTTTGGGTATGGGACCTGTGTCTGGGGCTATGGGCAGCTCTTACTTGGGCCCTGGGGTGAGCAGAAGGGTTCACAGTGAAGTGGAAGTACACTGAGAGGAAGGAGGCCTGGGCGGGCCCTGGAGACCTTCTAGCCCGTTGCATAGGCCAGGCCAGCTCATGGGCTGGGGTCTCTTCAGCAGGAATCTCAGCCTGTGTCTGATGGCCCAGAGCACTCCCAGGAGCCCAGGGCCTGGAGCCAGGGGTCTGAGACCACCTCCTCTGAGGCTGAGGCCAGGGCAGCTCGGGCAGACTGGCAGCAGCAGCAGAAAGCGGAGCCCCAGGCCCCAGGGTGTGGTGAGGTAATGCACGCATTTATCCCTGGAGTCTGCGGGCCATGCTGTTTGGGCGGGCACAGCTGTGAGAGGTCTCAGCATACCCATGATTGCTGGTGGGAACCACTGCCACCAACGCCAGCACAGAAAGCATGGGGACCTCTCTGCAGAGAGGAGGGTGGGCTCCATCCTTAGGAAAGAGACAGTGCTGGGTCCCTGGAACAGGCTATCTGGGGGCTGGTGGGGCACCAACCGGATACCTCTGGCTTCACCCTCATGTTCTGCTCCTGTGCCTTCATCCTGTTTGACAAGTGTTTGTCCTGTGCATCTCTCACCAAGGACTTGGAAAACTTCCTAGCACACTGGTCACCAGTTGCTTCTCTACTGCAGTAAAGCAGAAGCTACAAACCAGAGCCCTTCCACCTACAACATGCTATAGGATTTATTTGGGCATAAGAAAGTTTTTCTTTAGCCAGGTGGGTAGTGTACACCAGTAATCTCAGCACTCTGGGAGACTGAGGCAGGAGGATTACAAATTCAAACCCAACCTGAGCAATTTAGTTGGACCCTTTTTCAGAAAGAACATTCTTTTCAGTGGGCTGGGGGATGTAGCTCAGGGCAGAGGCCCTAGGTTCAAGCTCTAGTACCAAAATTCAGAACTAAGTTTTACTTTGAATTAGATAACACCCTTTCAAACTTTGGAGCTTTTATGTAAAAATCTGCATTTCTTCTCTTTTAAAATTGGAAGAAGTGCCATGCCCTGCGAGAGGAGCCAGCTAAGCAATTGGGCACCTTTGTGACAGTAGCTGCCACTCTCAGGTGGGCCACAGGGCCCCCTGTCCTTCTCTGCTGAGCCTAGAACCAAGAGACTGTGAGGGACTGCCACCGGTCTCACATCACCATGGGGAAGGGGAGGCCGCCTGCGCACAGTGCTTGCTGATGCCCCACAGCTAGACCCCACTCCTCGGCCCAGGGCGTGTGACTCCCGTGAACTAGGCCCAAGGGATTCTTCATGGTCATGGTCATAGCCAATTCTGGGACACAAGGAACTGGTAGTCATCATCTCAACTGTGCTGGTCACTATCTCCCCGTGATGGTCTGACCCTTGAGCCACATGGGGACAGGAAAATGGGGAAGAGACTGAAAAGTGCCAGGAGAGGATGTGGTCTTTAAATGTATTATGAACCTGATTCCTTTCCTCAGATTGGTTTATTGTGGGGCTTTTAAAAGGGGCTGAGAAATGTCCCTTTCCTAGCCCAGCAGGGGTGGGAAGAGCAAGAGGCCTCAAAGCCATCAGACCACAAAATGCAGAGCCTCACCCCCGTCCAGACCCAGCAGCAGGCCTGCTTTCCCCAGAATAAGACCTTTTTCATCAAAACCTCGAAAATGGATGCGCTGATGTGGAGACCTCAGTGGAGGCATTCGTCAAGGGAAGAGAAGTCATATGGCCTGAGAAGGACAGCCGTGCCCAGTAGTTCAGTTCAGCTGCTCCAAGTTCAGTTCAGCCAACTGAGGCAGAGCTGGGCCTGGCTGGAAGCAGAGGAGGGACTTCACTTCTTCACAGGACCCCTTCCCCCACACCTGCCTTCACACTGGGCTCCCTGGAAGCAGAATCGGAGTTAGGAGGACAGGGATTGCTGTGCAGATGATCTGTTGAGGGGCTCGTAGGAGAGACCCCAAAGGACGTGCCAGGAGCAAATGAGGCTAGGGAAGAAGCTGGAACAGGGCAAGAGCCCTCTGCCTGTGCCTGCAGGCAGCCCTCTGTCATCCTAGGGCCTGCCGAGCATTGATAGTTGCACAGCCCTTCCCAGGATGGCAGCTCCCTGTCGAGAGTTCTAGAGGGATCAGCTAAGGTGTGGGTGCTCAGGCTCCACAATAGAGGGGCCTGCACGGGTCATTGCCCACAGGTGACACACAGGTACATCTGGGTGCAGTACATCCTACAGCCCTTCCTCATAATCAGGTGATCAAGGTCTTGGCAGCCAACCCCGGGTGGCCAGGAAGGACAGGGTCCAGCATCTTCTCAGTCTTAGGTACACATGTCACCCCAGTACCCTGGGGAAAATAGGGAGAAGCACGGTGGTTGCTGGCCTGTTTGGTGCATGTCCAACTTTCTGCTCTGTGTGCGGTGATCCTGGTTCTGACTTTTCTGGATGTCTATCCATGTCCCAGCATGCATCCCTGTTGCTGCCCCACGTCTGCTTGTCCCCAGATGCACCCCATGCCAGAGTTCAGAGCCCTTCACACTTCCACATCCCAGCCCTGAACCCCAGCTGACCAGAACCATGGACATAAGGACCCTGAGGTCAGCCTAGGCTCAGTGATCCTGGCCCAGCCTCCGCAGCAGGTTCCTGCTGCCTACCCTAACCTCAGATTCCCTGGATGTGCCATGGAGGATGATATGGGCTTTCCAACTACCCCCCCCACTCCTGGATTAACACCCTCATCCTTCCCACCTCTCTGCCATCCCCACAGACCCATGAGGACAGCTACTCTGAAGGTAGCACAGCTGACATGACCAACACTGCGGACCTCCTGGAGCAGATCCCCGACCTTGGCGAGGATGTCAAGGATCCAGAGGACTGCTTCACAGAAGGTACCACCTCAGTAGACCTGTGCCCCAGCCCCAGCGCCAACACCACCCAGAGGACCAGCAGCTCCCTAAGGATCTGGGACTGTGTCTACCCCGACCCTACCTGGAACCTCCCTCTGTCCCCACTTCTCTGGGACACTAGGTCTCCTCCATCTGTCTGTGATGGTAGTTTTAGCAAGTCAGGTGAGCAGGGCTGAGCAGCTGCAGTTCCAGCAGCATCATGGCCTGGTGATACAGGGTAATGTGTGGCACAAATGTAGCAAAGATAGGGTCCCACTTCAGCAGGAATGGAGCCCAACTTGCCTTACATCCCCAGGCTGTACCCCAGGAAGGTCTGGAGGCCCTCAGTAGCACTCAGGGCAGATGTGTGTGGTCATGTCAGTGACTGACATCTTTTAGGAATTGGTGGTACGTTTCCTGTCGTGTGGCATGGCAGTTGGGACTATCGCTTCTGGATCTGCCCCTCCCAAGACTCAGAAATTGCAAAGATGGATAAGAGCTAGGACAGAGTACCCGCGTCCCTGAGCATTTCCTCAGGAAGAGGGCTTCCCAGATGAGCAGAGAAAAGGCTGAAAGCATGTCAGCCCCAGTCTCGCCCCTGTTCAAACCTGCCAGGCTGTCCCCTTGCTCACTGGGTATTAGTGCGTCCGGCTGCGTGTGAGCCCTACAGGGAATGTCCTTCTGCCTCCCCACACTAGGTCCACCCACCATGTAACCCTGCCCGCCACCCCCTTCCTCAGCCATTCCCTCAACCACCCAGATTTCTGCCATCAGATGGGTATTCACAAGGGCCCAAGCTGGACCTGATGTCACCCTTTTCCATAGGCTGCATCCGGCGCTGTCCCTGCTGTGCAGTGGACACCACACAGTCCCCCGGGAAGGTCTGGTGGCGACTGCGCAAAACCTGCTATCGCATCGTGGAGCACAGCTGGTTCGAGACGTTCATCATCTTCATGATCCTGCTCAGCAGTGGAGCACTGGTACTCTCCTAGGGATGCAGGGCTGGGAAGGCCAGGCTGGAGGGAGGAGGAGGACACAGGAAGATGGCCTCCAGGTAGAAAGCCAGGGCAGAAACTAGGCCAGAGACTCTGCTTAAAATATGCTCTCCAGGCCCCTGTAGCAGAGTGCAGCTTGTAAACTCTCAAAACCACAGCATTTATGAAAGCCAGAGCGTGTGCCCAGCCCTCTTTCTTGACATGCTTTGCCCTAGTCACCAGCATCCCACACTGGGGCTCTGTGACACACCTAGCTACATCACCAGGGTCAGGTATTCTGTCAAGTTGACATCACATTGGCTCCACTTAGTCCATGGGCTGGAGGCTGGGCCATGTCATTCACACATTGTTATATTTAACACCTACATCAACCTTTGTGAAAAGGTCAAGTAACTTGCCCCAAATCCCGCCACCAGATGTGGCATTTGAACCCAAGCAGTCAGATTCCAGAGTCCTTTGTCTTGACCTTCCACTGGTTCCATTGGTTCTTTTCTTAGCTTTTCTTATGTCTGGCCCTGTAAGCCATGGAGAACAACAGACAAAAGAGACCACAATCCTGGCCTCAGGTGCTCCAGTATAGCTGGGGAAATCAGATTCTCCAAGTATTTGAGATGTCACAGATTGACACAAGACAGTTGAGCAAGAATGATAGGGAGAACTGGGGGTAATGAGTAGGAGGTCAAGGAGACTCCCTGGAGAAAGAAGATGGAGCTGGACTCCAGGGGACAGAGAGGTTGGTGAGGCCAGGAGGAGCAGGGAAGCCTCCAGAGATGCCCCAAGCTTTCAAGCACCCTGTACTGATCTGTCAGAGCCCTTCTAGAAAGACATGGGACAGCCTAGGAGAAGGTTATAGAAGGTGCTAATGAGTAGAAAAGATGGATGTCAAATAAGGAGAAGAAATGGAAAAGTTCTTAGCCAGTGGGAGGCAGCCAGGGTTTTGAAGGAGGGAACTGGGAAACCTTTAGCCCACAGAGTGGGAAAGGGGCACTTTAACCTAAAACTCTATGCCTCCACTCCATGTGACCTCCTTCTGTGGAATAACCACAGGGAGGCCCTGCTACTGTCCTTCCTCAGCTCTGGAGCTGTCCCAAACTCCAGGGTCTCTCTTTCCACTCAGCACTGCCCCTCCCCTGGCTCAGGGTAGGCCTGAAGCCACAACTCGCAGCCCACCTGCTGTTTTACCACTGCAGCCAGAGCCAGATCTGTATGTTTCAAAGAAGGATGATTTGACAATATGTTAACAACTTTTGTTTGGAAACAGCCACAAACAAGGGCAGCCAAAGCCATTTAGCCTGGGCTGTGGCGGAAACTCTCAGTCTGGCATAAGTGAGGAGGAGTTTTGGCAAGCGTCTGGTGAGTCTAATCAGGATAGACAGCCAAGTGCTGTTGTTAAAAACCCTGTCAATGATATATTGGGAAAAAGAAGTCTGCGTGTGTTATTTAAAGTTGTAAACTTGTTTAACAGAAAGTAAACCATATCCCTTCCAAGTTGCTGTGGGGAAAAATTATTTCAGGAAATTAGAGATCTTACAACACAAGAGAAGGAAAAAGAAACAACCAAGAAGCATTAAAATCAGAAAACAAGGTAATATGGCAGAGGCAAGATTGAATATGCTTTAATAATAAATATAACTGGATAAAATTATCTTTTAAAAGAAAAAGGTTCTGAATGAATTTTGTTTTAAAGTCAGTTATATTTTCTTGTCACCAGAAGCAAATGTTGAAGCTACCTGCCACTCAGCTACCAATACCCAGGAGACAAATGTTGGTGGGGAGGAATCAGGATTATTCCAGGACTGCCCAAAAGGAGAGAGTGGGCTCCCTTCTCGAAGTTGGGGGGCACTAGTGGTTTGTACTGAGTGTGGAGAATTCAGAGAGATTCCAGGCTAGTCAGGATCTTTAGCCAGAGCACAGGTCTCCCAGGACTTCACAATGGATTTCAGCCTCCTGAGACTCATAACTGGAAGACAGCACAAAGACATCTGGACCTAAAGAGGTTGAGCAGCTAACATCTAAGTGGGCCTCCTCTGTACCCTAACAATTAGAGACGATGGCATGGCAAAGGAATGGGAACCAAAGGACAATTTCAAAAATGACAAAGTGGCTTGGAAATGTTAACCATGAAATAGTTATGCAGATGGATATCCCAATCCAAAATGCTCAGGAGGGTCAGGAGATAGCTCAGCAGACTAAGCGCCTACTTAGGTAAGCACAAGGACCCAGGTTCAATCCCTATCACCACCTGCTGCGTTGGCCCCACCCCTAAGCGTACATGCCAAGCTGGCCCCACCCCAGGCACAATATTTCGTGGTTAACATATCGAAGTCATCTTGTCATTTGTGAAATTGTCCACACTTTTTAAATGATTGACATCTCCATATGCAGAGAAACATACTCACAAAGACACCAAGTGAAGGTCAAGTTTTGTGTTGAGCTTCTGTAGGCCCAAGTGAAAGGTCACTGGTTTGGTTTGATTTAGTTTTTTCTTTTTTTTTTTTTTTTTTGGTTTGGTTAGCAAAAGCAGCTTCCAAGGTCCTGACTGCCTCAGGAGAAAACACAAGTTATGTCTCCAATAAGTAACAGGTTAAGGGTTCAGGAATTTGTCCTTTGTCCCTGTAGTGTTCTCTGTCTCAGCCTGAGATTAGAAAATGAAGGCCCAAGTTATCCTAAAAAATAACTGTAGTAAATATTTCTTAGGATTACATAGCACTTAAATATGTGAAGCAAAAACCACTGGGGAAAGAAACAGAAGAAACCGACAGCAGTACAAATAGTACTGGGAGAGTTTGCCATGATTCCATGAGTTTTTGACAAGTCAAATGACACAAAATAATGAAAGACCTAAAAATATACACTGTTAATAAAATTGATCAACAGAATAATAAAAATATTAACTAACACATGAGTAACATTATGTGTGAAATACCGACTTAGGTACCTATTTTATAAATTTTAGCTCATTTAATTCTCAAATAATAGTATCCTCTGAGATAGGTCGTGTTATTAAATGAGCTTTACAGACAAGAAAACCTCATCAAAAATAGGGACTGATGTTGTAGCTCAATGATAGAGCATTCATCCACCTTGTGTGAGGCCTGGGAATCTCTAGCATTACAGAGAGAGAGAGAGAGAGAGAGAGAGAGAGAGAGAGAGAGGAAAGGGAGAAAAAAGGCGAGGAAACAAAATCAAAAAGTGATTTTTGAACAGACTTTGTGTTAGAGAATAGTTTTGTGATAGTCATTAAATAAATAAATAAATAAATAAGGTTATTCATGGACCAATAATTATAGTGTACTATAATCATCAAAGACAATAATTGAAACAATTCTGTCCACCTTAGAGAACAGGAAAATAAGAAAGATACAACCAAAAATTGAGCTGCCTGAGGGTAAAAACTGGAATGCACATTTTAAGAATGCTATATATAGGATGCAGACAATGCTATAAGAAGAGGAAAATTCATAGATACTTTTTTTTTTTTTTTTTTTTTTTTTTGCGGAACTGGGGATTGAACTCAGGCCCTTGCGCTTGCCAGGGAAGCACTTACTCTGCTGAGCCATCTCCCCGGCCCCCATAGATACTTTTATTAAGTAAAAAGGATGTAGTAAGTTAATAATTCAAGAAATTATAACTATAACATGATAATCTTAAGAAAACTAAAGGAAATAATTGGTGAAATGAAAAAATAAAATAATGAATTAGAAAGTAAAGAATAAATTTGTATAAAATTTCAAAGCTACCGCCATCAAAAATGAAAACAAATGGATACAACTACTGGGGCTAATTTCTCACACCCTAAAGGAACCTTTCACATTCCTAAGGAAAAAAAATTCAAAGCAATCCTATTTAAAATATACTAGTAGACGAAAAACTATGGGGCTGGAGAGATAGCTGGGCAGTCTAAGAGCCTGCCTGGCAAGCACAAAGACCCAGGTTCGATCCCCAATGTCGCATGCCATGCCAGCCCCAGAACCCCAGGCGCACTGTGCCAGCCACGGAAACCAGCCGTGGTGGTACGCATCTGTAATCCCAGCTGTGGAGAAGCTGAGACAGGGAGATCACTGTGAGTCTGAGGTGCATAGGGAGACTCTGTACCAAATAAATAAATAAATAAAATTTTAAAAAGAAAAAAGAAAAAACATGAAAGTTCATAAATTATTCTTACTAAATATAATGTTGATTTTAAAGACTTAAAGTATATCCAAAAAAAAAATTAAAGGTCAATTTTGATACCTCATACTCCATACTTATGAAGTAATAAAAAAAAATCTTGACAATAATACATGCAAACAGGATCCAGTAATATATTTAAAAGGTCAAATATATCAGAGTTAGGTATATTACTATGATGCCATATTTAAAAATCTATATAAATAGGGCAGATTTTTTAAAAATATACAATTATTTTAAGGAATACCTGTCTAAAACTCTGGCAAAATACAAATAAAATCTATTCTCTTACTTTAGTGAAGAACTCTCAAATTAACTATCCTCATCAGTAACATAGCACTTGGAACGTTTTCATTAAAGCTGTGACTATGAAAAGGATCATTTACCTACTCTTTAGCTGTTGTTCATTATTTAATAAGAGTTTTCAAGTCCAAACAAGTGTAATTAATCAAGAAAAGTAAACACATAGTGTAAAAACTGGAAAATGGAAGAACTGAAATCAGTACAATTAGTCAAGTATAAATGCAGGATTTAACAATAATAGAAATGGAAGCTAGGGATGACACTTGGTGGTAGCATGTGTGAGGCACTGGGTGCCCTCCCCCAGAAAAGCAAAAACAGGAAAAAAATATTAAAAACATTATTTAGCCATTTATGAGATAAGCATACAAGAAATTGTCATGGTAAATGCCGTGTTTTGCTTTTGTTTTGTTTTATTAGTGATGCTGGAGATTAAACGCAGGCCTTTGCAACTAAGCTATACTCCCAGCACTTCAAATTTTTTCTTTTATTTTGAGAAGGGGTCTCACAAAGTCACTAAGATGCCCAGGCTAGGTTCAAGCCTGCAGTCTTCCTGCCCCAGCCCCTGAAATGCCGTGAGCACCAGCATTTGCTGTTACTGCTTTATACCAACAAAAACCACTTAGTCATGAATAATATCTCTCAAATATTCCTGACACTGGAAGTATAAAATAACTTGGAATAAATACAGTGGTGCCTCAGTTCACAAACTTAACTCTTTCTACAATTCTGGTCACAAACCGAATTGGACAAGAACCAAATCAAATTGCCCCAGGTCAACATTAAATCTAACTATTGAATTTGAGGAAGAAAGGTTTATTTCAACTCACAGTTTGTAGAGATTTCAGTCCATAAGGCAAGGCAGCATGGCAAGGAAGGCGCAGTCCATTGCAGGGCTGCCAGGAGCAGCGAGCAGTGAGTCTTCAGGACTTTTATATCATCTAGCGACAGGCCCCCCAACGGGGAGGACCGTCCTGTTATCTACATCCAGAACTACACTAGCTCCACTGGATTATTTTAGTTATTGCATGCCCTTAATCCATATTCACACTCCCTAGATCCAGCCACCTCTGAAAAGCCCCGCCTGTGAGCCTATCAGGCTTTGGGGGGACATCTAGATACAAGCCATCATGAGTAACAATAAATTTTCGACCATATTTTGAACATGTTTGACAAAACATTGCTGAAGTTTGTCTTGAAGATTGAAAAAAAGGTCCAGGAAAAAAAGAAAAAAAGGTCCAGGGAAATGGCACGTGATACTAATTTAGGAGTAGACAGCATCAGAACCACAGGCCAGGAACTGGGAGGTGTGGCTCTGTGGTATAGTCCATGCCCAGCACGCACAAAACCTTGGGTTCTATCCCTAACACACACACACACACACACACACACACACACACACACACACACACACAAATACAAAATGGGGGTATATAACAAAATTGACTTATCAGTGGATTTTAGTTATTAATGAAGTATTAAAGTTTATTAAAATGAGTACTTTATCAAAATATGTTTAAATTGTAATAAACAATTAAAGCAAAAACTTTTTTTAAAAAAAACTGTAGGCCAGGTTCTTTTTGAACTTGTGATCCTCCTGCCTCTGCTTCCCAGAGTGCCTGGATTATAGGTGTGCACCACCACACCTGGCTGGAAAGAGCTTTCTTAATATAACACCAGAGATTTTTTTACTGAATGGAGCTAGATTAAGCGGTATAATAAATGATAATGAGGTATGGTAAGCAAAAGCAAACAAGGTTTAAAGGTCCACAACAAACTAGGATAAAGTTTGTAAAAAAAAACAAAAAAACAATAGTTTCCAAATATACTGGACTCAAAAATAGGCAAAGGATAGGAACAGGTAACTGCAAAAGGGATGCCACACATACCCAAGTGTTATTCAATGAGATAAATTAAAAGGTGACAGAGTACAACTTCAGTGCATTGGCCTCAGCACAGTGGAAAGGACCAGCATGGCCAGTGTGGCTCGGTGGCAAGGAGAGGCTCTGCTCGTGCTCTGAGGATGGAACGTACATCAGCATTCTCTTCCAGGGTCCCGTGCCCTGCCTGTACCGAAAGCCACTTCTGACCCACACCCAGCACTAGAAATGTATCTTCCATCAGCACCAGCACATTGTGCAACCCCACAGTCATGTCTACTTGAGATGAACTAGAAACAATGGAAAGGTGCTTGCTAGGGTTGTTAGCTGGCGCACACAAATACTGAAATATCACACAGCCTTTCGAAAGATGGATCATTGTGATTGTATGTATTCACACCATCAAGTGAATAAGTGTTCCCAACAGATTGAAAAAAAGAAGCAGTTTCAACCCAGATATTCTCTCTTAGAAAAGTACATTGTGTCTAAGATTGTGTGAGTGCAGATGCATTTGCACACACGTTCATAGTGTCAAGAACAGTGTTCACCTGCAGGCTAGCAGTGGTTACAATGATGTCATGGAGTTAGAAACGTTAATCTTTTGGGGGGAGGGTACTGGGGATTGCGCTTCCCAGGCAGGCGCTTATGCTGCTGAGCTATCTCCCCAGCCCTTGTAATTTCTATATTTAAGTAATATAGAAAAAAATTAAATATTTTTGTAGGAAATACACATTTTTATTTAAGGAACATTTATATACATGTTCCTATACACACACCCTGCTTTTTACCTCAACAGCTCACAAAGTCCATGTATGGGCCTACATTACACTGCTGTGCTGTCTACACCGGCCCATTTAGCCATATGGGGAACCTCAGTTCATGAACACTTTTGTTTGCAAATGATTTTACTTGCAAACAGAAGCATTTGGGAAAATTTTGTTTTTGTTTGCAGATGCTGCATTGGGTGACAAACACAACAGCAGCCATCTTTCCCACAGGAACAGCAACGTGGCTGTCTTCTCTAGAATTGTGGAACAAATTAAGTTCGTGAACCGAGGTGCCACTGTATATTACCTGTGCCTCTGCCGTGCATCCCCAGGCACCATGAGCTGCTCTCATTCTTGGCTCACAAAGGCCCTGAAGCCATACAGGGAGATCCGGGAGCGGCAGGAGGAGGCTGCCCCTTGGGAGCTCGGTGACGTGTTCAGTTGCCTAGACTGGGACCTTAGGAATGCCTGGGAGGAGAAACGTTCAGGAACCATGCAACTCTTTAAGACAAGGCAGCAGGGCACCTCCCTTTTGGCTCAGAAATTGGGTGGAGGCAAGAATAAGCAAATGGGGACTAACTTACAACTTCTAGCATTTTAAAGACTTGACTCTTGGATTCTGAGGCCTGCCACAGAGTCGACTTCATCTAGTCCTATATTTCTTAAATTTCATCCCTAAAATCTGTGTGTGTGTGTGTGTGTGTGTGTGTGTGTGTGTGTGTGTAACTAAGGATGGTGCAAGTTTGACATGAGTAAATCCGAGCCTTTTGCACTGAGCTATAGGGGCAGCCCTTTTAAATTTTTTTTATTGGGTACAAAGTATCACTACATAGCTCAGACTTGTAGTGATCCTCCTGTCTCAGCCTCCCAGTGCTGGGATCATAGGCATGTACTACCCCACTTTGTTTCAGGGCTGGCATAGCATGTAGTACTGGGGATCAAATGTGAGTCCACCACACCCAGTTTCTCGTTCATGATCACATATTTGCAGTTCAACTATAGACCAACTCTCACAGCTTTTTTGCCAAGGGGAACAGTCATTACAATTGGAGGCTATTATTACTTCCCGTGAAAATTAGGTAACTATTTGAAGAGAATGAAAGCAAAGACCATTTTACATGCCTTGGGCAGAAAGCAGTGAGTTGAGCCTGCTTGCCCTCTCTGGATTTTAATGGGATGTCCACATCTTTGAGAAAGGTTACTCAGGGACACCAGCCCAGACCTGACACTTGCTCATTAACATGAAGGAAGAGTTGCATGCTTGCTGCCCTGATCCTCTGCCTACTGTTAGGAACAGTTCTGACTCAAGCTAGGAGGTGTCCCAGTCCAGCATTGCCTGGGAAGTGCTCTTGGCACCCCTGTTCCTGCCCTCCCAGCTGCACAACTGTTAGACCTGCTGCCTCCTGCAAGACCCAGGACACTGTGCCCATCTGTCTGCCCTGCCCACAGGCCTTCGAGGACATCTACCTGGAGGAGCGCAAAACCATCAAGGTGCTGCTGGAGTATGCTGACAAGATGTTCACTTACGTCTTCGTGCTGGAGATGCTGCTCAAGTGGGTGGCCTATGGCTTCAAGAAGTACTTCACCAACGCCTGGTGCTGGCTAGACTTCCTCATTGTGGATGTGAGTGGGGGGGGGTTGTCCTAGCTGGGGTCGGGCCTCAGGGTCCTGGACTGGAAGGAAAAGGAGAAATAGACTTTCAGATCCTGTAGTTAGGGGGCCTACCCATTAGCTCAGTTGTTTAAGTGCCTGCTTAAGCAAAGCAGTCAGGCTTAGAATTCTGTGGTTTGATCCCCAGATCCTCATGCCTTACCAGACCTGCCCTTAAGGCATCCTCAGCCAGAAAAAAAAAAAAAAAAATCCTTCAGATTCTGTATTTAGAGCAGAAGCACTATGGAGACCACAACCCCTGCTTTTAGGAGAGATAGTATGAAAGCAATTCTGGCCAGGCATGAGCCAGGGAGGATGAGGGGCCATGCTTCTTCTTGTAGCCGGAAGAGGAGGAGGCACATGTATCTGTACTGCAGCCCTCTCCTGAGTTACTGAGAAGTGTTTCAGGCTGGCCAACCCAGCCAGCCAGTGCAGAGGCTCTGTGCTGCTCTGGAGCACTGGAGGGGAGAAGCCTGGGGAAGGGCAGGGCAGGCTCAGGGAGCAGGTATAGTCAGGGAGGACCTGGCCAGTGAGGTCACCTGTGCAGGAGGGAAGTGTGGCCAGCCTGGGCACTACAGTGGCAGGTGACATGGGACGGGCACTGTGAGCATCATGTAGGATGAGTGCAGGCTGCAGCAGGGGTCTGTGCAGGGACAAATGGGAGCTCTCAGACCTGTTCTCACCAGGGGGAGGGCCCAGAGGGTCGCAGTGAAGTGGAGTGTACAGAGGGTTCCAGGGCACACATATCTGAGGGCTCCCACGTGCAGCCCAGAGTATGGGTCAGGATCTGCAGGCTACAAAGGACTTCCCAGAAGGTGTAGTTTCAACATGAGTTCTGCACACCATAAGGGGGCCTTGCTGTGGTCACAGGAGAGCCTCAGTTCCAACATCCTACTTAGAGGCCAAAGGAGGGTCTCAGCCCCTGGTAGATCTGGTTTAGATGCAGGCCTGGGCTGCCAAGCGTGTGTAGGAGGGGGGGGTTGTCTCCTCAGCAGGAGAGGCTACATGGGCTAGCGAGTATGCAAGAGAATCAATCCCAGGTCCTTGGGCCAATGTAACCCCAGTTCTTGGATATAGTATACAGTACAGCAGGGGACTGGGAGACAGGGTTCTAGACTCTCTGGGAAGCCTGGCCTGGCCATTAAGCCTCTCCAGGTGAAGGAAGGACCCTAGGGCTTCCTGCCCAGCTGTTCCGTCAGTTTCTTGGGAAGTTGGGACTGCTGAGGACCACCCTCCAGGCCAGGCCAATAGAGTGTGGGAGCCCCAAGAGGATGCCACCATGAGGAACTCAAGCGGAAGCCAGGTAGGGAAAAAGACACACAGTGCTTCCTATTCAGGGAGCGAGGAGGACAGGCCTATGGAGAAGCCACTGACGTCACCACAAGGAGGGCCTTGCCCACAGATGGCAGAGGAAGTGGATATCTTGGCAGTGGCCATGCCACCTGGGAAAGATCTCAGGCTTCAGTCTAGAAGAGAATGTTCCTAGCATCTGCCTGTGCACTTTTTTTTTTTTTTTTTTCAGTCACTACCATTAAGCATCTGTTATGCGCAAGCACTGTTGGAAGTGCTAGAGATTTCAGAGAACAAGACAGACAAAAACAGCTGCCCACGTGGAGGTGACAGCTAGCAACAAACATAAAGAATAACTTGATTAGACGTCAGTTTAGGTTACAAGGTGACCTTGCATAGGGGAAAAGGAACTGGGGAGGGAGTAGGAGGTGTGGCACAGGTGGGTGGTGTAGGTCACAGCCATGAACATCTGGCCTGAGTAAGCCCAAGAAGTTGGTTTCTGAGCAGATCTGAAGGAAGTTGGGGCTAGCAGAGCGGATGTCCACAGACCACCACAGGTGAGGTTGGAAGAACCGCACAGAGGCCCAGATGCTGGAGCATGGCTGGCACACTTGCAGTGGAAGTGGACCAGACTGGCTGAAGCAGGACTGAAGGCAGGAGACTGGGCTGGCTGCTCTGGGGGGTAGGGCACCAGCTTTTATGTAGAATGAAATCTGGCAGGCTTTGAAGGGCTGCAGACAGAGCAGTGATGAGCACTGGGTTTTGCTCATCGAGGGGCTCTGTCTGGGAGAAGGGAGGGGGCACAGAGGAAGCAGAGTTAGAAGGCTCTGCACTCACTAGGGAGGGCCAAGGGAGCCCACTCAGGACAGAGGCAGCAGGTGTGGTGAGAGATGTTTAGACATCTGATGTAGTTTGAAGGCAGAGCCAACAGGAAATCCTGATGGGTTAGACATTGGGTGTCAAAGACAGAGTGGAGGCAGGGACAACACTGTGGCCCTGGGAGGACAGGGTTGCCATCAACAGATGGGAGACAGGGGCAGGGCGGGCAGGGTGAGCTTCAGAAAGAACAGCCATGCAGAGAATAGCTTGTTGGGATCAGGGCAGAAGGAGGCCCTGTCCTGGGAGGCAGTGCTCAGAGAGATGCCCCTGGCTCTGCCTGCCCCTTGGTGGCCCCCTGGCCCGCAGTACTCCTGAGCCTGGGATAGGAGGCTGTGGGACTCAGGCCCTGTCCACCACTTTCACACCCCAGGTGGCCCAAGTACCAGGGTAGATTCACAGTGCCACAGGGATGTCAGGCAGGAGACCGCTGAGACTGTGATCACTGGTCTGCTATGGAGGAGGCAGTGGGTGGATCTCAGAGAGCTTAGAGGACGAAAGGTCCCAAATGGGAGTTCCCTGGTGAACTCAGTGTTCCTGTGTGTGGACTGGGCATGCTGAGTCCTATGATGGCAGTTAGCAGGCTCCTACAGAGCACATTTGTGATGTGCACAGTGGCTCTCAGGAGACTCTAAGGCCATGATTCTCTGGCTTGAGTGCTGGGAGCCGAGCCTGCTGCTCCTGGGTCTGGAAAGCCCAGTGGGCCTGGCATGATACAGGTTGGATACCTGTATCATGCAGGCTCTTAGCCAGCCAGTCCGAGGTGGCCCCAGAGCCCTGTGGTCTGACCCTATCTTGCATCCCATCTCCACAGGTCTCACTGGTCAGCCTGGTGGCCAACACCCTGGGCTTCGCTGAGATGGGCCCCATCAAGTCACTGCGGACACTGCGTGCCCTCCGTCCCCTGAGAGCCTTGTCACGATTTGAGGGCATGAGGGTAAGAGGAGCTTCGGCCTTCTAGCCAGGCTAGGGCTGGAGTCACACCGAGGAACTCCTGGGCTCTGCTTGCTGGCACAGTGTCCTACTGACTTGAGGACCCAGAATCTCTGGTTTGGGGCCCCTGGAAGGAGGAGGGCTGGGAGAGTCGAGAACAAGGGAGAGAAGACAAGAATTTATTGGACACAAGTTTTTCAGTGACATCCCTTCAGCCAGCACTCTTCTACCTCCACCCTGATTAGCAGTCTCATCTCCCTACATGCCCCGTGTGCCTACTCTGTGTGACTGCATACCCTGGACTCCAGCAGACATGGGCTGCCTCCCCCCATCTGTGCTGGGCAGGGGCTGTGGAAGGAAAAGTGAAGCTAGGCAACAGGGAGCAGGCTTATTCATACCACCAGAGCCAGTGTGCAGAGTGACAGGGTCACCTATTAGTAAATGCCTCTGCACGGTTTTCTGAGTGGACCTCCCTGTGCATTTTTCAGACTACCATATTTTTCACCATCAAGAACATGAGCACATAAGGCAAATTTAGAAGCCCCCAAGAAAAACATTAGCTGTTATATATAGCAAGAAAACAAACACATACATGTTTGTGTGCATGTCTTTCCTTTTTGTTTTTTCTAACAAAACACACAATTCAGGGTCGCTGCAGAAGGCATGTGTGTCTTCTCCCTGAGGTGGCAGGCACTGTTGCTTGCTCACCACTGGTTGAAGGCTTTGAACCTTGCCCACATCCCCAGTACATGGAGAGATAGGTTGCTTATTCCTTGTCGAAATTCATCTACAAGAGACTACACAAGGGCTGGAGTGGAAGATCTCTTTGGAAGCAAAAGCATTTGGTTCCAGAGGCCACAGGAAGATGTGAGGTATGCAAATGCCTCTGACCACTGGCCACTAAGGCAACCAAGGACCACTCCTGAGGTGTCTGACCTAGGCAAGTTTGGTGTCCTTGAGCGCTAGATTTTTCACCCTATTCCAGGATTCCTCCTGCCTGCTGGGGAGTAACACCTCCCTCTCTGGCCTCCAGGCCCTCTGGGCCACACGAGTCCCACACCAGCTCCACCACCATCTGTGGGATAGATGTCCTCAGGGACAGATGGGCCCCCAAGTGAGGCTGGGTACTCCAAACACATCTTCCAGGGAGCCCTCTCCTAGGTGCTGAGGCATTAGTCAAAGAAGCTTGTGGCTATAACTCCATAGGGCCAGACAGGCCCTCACTGGGATGCGAGAGGCTCAGGGGGACTTCGTGCCACCTGCCCTATGGCTCTGGAGCATTACAGAACTGTTGCAGTATCCTCCTACATATTACACAAGGGTGCCCTGGTTATACTTTAGGGGAAAGTGTCCATTGATCTCTAGCAATAACCCTAAAATGAACCAGAAATGTATCCCAGGGAGTATAAGACCAGTGGGACTGATAAGAGGACCAAAGTCTCAGGGATATGTTGCCAAGGCCCTTTCCCATTTGAATCCTAGTATTCGTAACTGACAGAGACCCTATTTTTATAAAATTAAGTCTTGAAGGCCATGGATACAAGCAAAGGAGAACCAACAAGGGAAAGACAAGTGCTCTAGGGTCATATTGGACGTTAGGGCACAAAGAAAGGCGTGTGTGTCCTGCCAGAGCTTCCAGCCACAGAGTTGGCCTCTCCCATTACTGTAGGATCTGCACTCTCCCCTAGCAGCCCCTGTAGCCATGGATTTAGTTCAGTGGGTAGCCTGGATAAGGGTGTATGCTCTGGGCACCCCCAAGAACTGAATCTCCTCTTGGTCCCCTTGAGGTGGTGGTTAACGCCCTGGTGGGCGCCATCCCATCCATCATGAATGTCCTGCTCGTCTGCCTCATCTTCTGGCTCATCTTTAGCATCATGGGCGTGAACCTCTTTGCGGGGAAGTTTGGGAGGTGCATCAACCAGACTGAGGGAGATCTGCCTTTGAACTACACCATCGTGAACAACAAAAGCGAGTGTGAATCCTTCAACATGACTGGCGAGTTGTACTGGACCAAGGTGAAGGTCAACTTTGACAATGTGGGGGCTGGGTACCTGGCCCTCCTGCAGGTGGTAAGTCTCAGAGAGGGACTTCTTCCCCCAGCTCTTTAGCAGCATCTGCCTTCCTCCCAGGTGTGGGCAGGAGGGGGTGGTGGGCCCCAAGGAGGCTAAGGATTTTCCAGGGCCTCAGGAAGTCCCCAGATTTTTCTGAACAGATGCCAGTTATAGAACAGATGCCACATGCTCCAAAGTGCATGGCACAAGGGCCAGGCCAGCACTATGGCAGAACTAGTTTCCCAGCCAGTAGTCAAGTGGACCTCTTCAGGCTATCTGGTAGGTAGTATGATGGCGCCAGTTAAGCACAAAAGACCACGGACTCCGCAGGGACTGGACTATTAGCAAAACTGTGACTCTGGCCACCCTTTGTTATAAAAGGAAGTAATATCTCTTGTGTTTTCTTCCATCTTTGATGTCCAAGATGTGTAGTGTCTAGCCACATGTTGCTTCAAGACTTTCCATTGATTCTGTGAATTTGATAACATCAATGATTATAATACATGCCATAAAATTAACCTACCAGTAGCCTTAACAACAGAAATTCCTGTAGAATTATAAGGCAGAAAGCTGTACCTCTCTTATCTTGCTACCTAATTATAAACCTAGACATCTCTAGCTCCCAAAGTAAAGGGCCACCCAAGAGCATATTACCTGGAAACTTTTTGCATATCCATTCACAGCTCTGCCCATTCCTTAAGTCCCAGAAGTAACAATCCCCCACACCCGACACCCCCTCCAGAGCATCACCCAGAGCCCTGAAGTCTGCCTGCTAGGTACCACTTCTGAAAGATTCCCCACATCCCAGTAGGCCTTGCAGGGGACCAAGCCTGTGCCACACAGACTTTAGGGGGCGCTCTAGGTACAAACTGTGGCACCTGACTGCCTCAGACGCTTAAGCACAGAAAGTTTGTGTAGCTGAGCTTGTGCATTGCAGAGAGGCTCAGGGCCTTGGAGAGGATTAGGTCTTACCAAGCACACAAGTCAGACCCTACAGGGCCACTGGTCTTAGCAATAAGCACATCTCCGCACTTTCTGTATCTTCCCAGCAACTTGGACTGGGATGGCCAGTGTAGCCATGCCAAGCCCTGTCTCCTTCACGCAGCCTGCTCCATGACCGTAGGATCTGAGTGTGCTGTGCTGAAGCTGGGTATGACATTAGCAGAAATTTTGCAAGTTTGTTGTTAAGCACAGCCATCATTTAAAAAAAAAAAAAGGTAAATGTGTAATTAACTAAATGAAGTTAAAGCAGAAGTAGCAAATACTCAAAATACTCAGAACTCAGCATTACTATCATCTGTGCTGTGGAAGTTATCTACAGTTATTTATTGTTCTGTTTGTCCTAGAAATACTGTGACACTGTGCCTCTACACATCTCTTTCCAACTCTGTGTTCAGTAATAGCACACTGGTAACTTGAAATCAGCCATGGAAGGAGTATTTATATCAGAAAAATTGGCTAACATGATAATGAAGGTTTTTCTTCCTTCTGGAAATCCAAGACATACCACTGGCCCTTAAGGCCAAGGCGGGGATGTTTCATGGGCTTTAGGGAACTCTGCAGAGCAAAAGTCCCACAGTTCCCTAATGTGCACAAGGAGGGGGTCCAGCTCAGCACTGAGGTAACCCTTCAGCTGGGCCAGGGAGTCCAAGCCCCACCCCTCTGTCCCTGAGACAGAGTGAGAGACTCTTGTGTTAGAACCTGAAGTGTGTGCAGAGCGGAAGGCAGACCTTCTGGCCCAGCCTCCCTTTAAAGCACATCAAGAAGGTCACCTCTCACACACAACTTTCTCACAGTGTGCTTCCCCTTCGCTCTCAGACCTAAGCTAGACCTTTCTGTGGAGCACTGAGCCATTTGACATGACAGAATGGATGTGTGAAGTCTGCTTGCTTCCCACTAGAGACTCTTTCCTGGCCTTGTCTGTCAAGGCTGGAGCCCCGCATAGCCCAAGCAAGATGCAGAATTCAGTGATTTTTCTTAACCTTCACTTTTCCTTCCAGGCAACATTTAAAGGCTGGATGGACATCATGTACGCAGCTGTGGACTCTAGAGGGGTAGGTCTCCACCCTTGCCTCTGTCACCAGATGGAGTGCCTGAAGCTTTTGGCTACGTGGCTACCAGAGAGTCAATGTCTACATCTGAATGCCCCACCTCCCAAGGCAGGACCTTGTGTGTCCACCTGGGGCTCAGCTCTGCTGGAGTACCCAGGCCTGGCTGTGGGATAGAATTGCATGATTCTCTAAGAAGACTCTAATTCTCAAGTGTGTTTCAGACCAAGCTCACTGTAGTTTACCCGTACCTTACCCTAGGAGAATGAGATGACAGCAACCGAGATGAAAATCAAGGTTCTTCTTCATCCTTGTGCCCCACACAATCACACTGGCAGCTCAGTGACCACTAAGACTGGCCACAATATATCAACCGGTCAGGGGCCCTGGAGCTGAAGTCACTCCCTGACACAGTGCCAGCCCCAAGCCCAGCATGCCTACTGCCCCACTCTTTCCTACCTTCCCCTGGCCTTGCTCTGTATTCACAAACACACATGTACTCATGACACACGCAAGCTTATGGTTTCCTCTGAGTACAGCCTTTCCCACAGAATGACCCTACCTGTCAGGTCCTGAGACCTCAGCCTGTCTGATCTCCCTATCTGATTTCTCCCCTTAGTATGAAGAGCAGCCCCAGTGGGAATACAACCTCTACATGTACATCTACTTTGTCGTTTTCATCATCTTCGGGTCCTTCTTCACCCTGAACCTTTTCATTGGTGTCATCATTGACAACTTCAACCAACAGAAGAAAAAGATACGTAGAGCACCACTCCACATGGGCAGAGCGGGGTGGGCCAGGGCCAGGGCCAGGGCCAGAGGACTGAGGACTGAGGAGCCAGTGTGGCTACAGGGCCCACCCTGCCTTCACTTCTGGTTTAGTCCTCTTACTGTCATATAATAAGGAGAGAGAGGCATCCACAGATGTAACTTGGTAGGCCCATAAGGACTTATACAAAGGGGCTTTGGTGGGAGACACAGTGCCTGCTGAGCTTACTTAGGGAAGCTGGTATGAAGTTGGGTTATTCACCTTGTCCATAGTCAGAGGTCATGGGTGGGGCTATGCAGAGGCCCACAGCCTTCTCAGACCTCCATCATGGGAGACATGACTATCTTCAGGCAAACTAAGTAGACAGAGAGAACCTCAGGGCTGCCTGAGCTGGGCAAAGGGAAGAGGTTGGGGTGAGCACTGGATTTTCAGGTCACAAAGCCAGGGAAATGTTAAAGTGAATGAGGATAGGAACTCTGGAAGAGCAGGTCTGGTGCAGGATAGGGACATCCTTTTTCCACCAGGAGAAGAAGTGAGGAGGTGACCTGGTTGACCCTGGTCCCCTCATCAAGGAGGCAGGACCCTATACCCTCAGTGCTAAGGTTCTGAGAACCCCAAAATGAGGCTGGTGCTTGTCTCTCTGCACTTAGGGGGCCAGGACATCTTCATGACAGAGGAGCAGAAGAAGTACTACAATGCCATGAAGAAGCTGGGCTCTAAGAAGCCCCAGAAGCCCATCCCACGGCCCCTGGTGAGCTGGGCTTCCTGGTAGAGTGAGGAGTGTCTTTGCGTTGGGAGTCCCAACCACACAGCCAGCCACTAGACTTTTCACAATCTATCATGCCAGCTTGAGGTGCTCTTGGATGTCTGACCCACACAGAGGTCCTACAGTCGGGAACAAGGTGGTAGCATCTGGGGACTCTACTGACCCTTTTCCCTGGAGAGTGCGGGCAGAGTTCCCTGCCTTCACCCTGCTCAGAGCCTCATTCTAGAACCTCTGCCTTATAGGAGCTGTGTTCAAACATCTCTCGGGGAGCAGAGCCGGGTGGAGGCTGCTGGCTTCTCTGCCAGGCTGTGTTCCTTGGCCCAATCGATCCACTCCCCAACAAAATGGGGAGCAGAAAAAAAAAGTGATTAAGTGATGTAACCTGATTAAGCCTAACAAGCGGCACACCCAATTTTTTTCAAAGCCAGCTCATCACTTTTAGTTGACTGTTTCTTGCTCACTCACTGTGGTCTGTGCCAGATTAGTTTTGTGTGTGTGCTTCCTTACAGCCTTGTCTTCCCCCCAAATAATCTAGGATGATTTATAATCAAACACACGTACAGTAGGATGAATAATTTCTATTCTATAAACAAAGCCAGAATAAATTAAATCAATACCATATAAAGTAGAGAAAATATATTCATCTGAGGGCTGATACAATGACTAGGATTGAAGTTTCATTTTGACTTAGCCTTCTGCCTGTGGGAACAAAGAAAAGCACCATGAACGTGTGCTGAGGGAACTCAACTCAGGATGGGAGAAATCTCCCCCTGAAGATCCATCAGGGACAGCCTCATGGAGGACAGAACCGCTGAGCCTGGGATGTCAGGCAGGAAGCCAGTTGTTTTGGCCGCCATGACACCCTCCTCTGCACTCGCCGTGGCAGTGTGACAGGGGCTGCACCTTCACCGAGAGTCGAGTACAAGGAGCAGGCAGAAGCCCCAGGGGGTCCACTGGGCTGTCTGAGGCCACTGTTGAACTCATCTTGCCCTTTCTTTCAGAACAAGTACCAGGGCTTCATATTTGACATCGTGACCAAACAGGCCTTCGACGTCAGCATCATGTTTCTCATTTGCTTGAACATGGTGACCATGATGGTGGAGACTGATGACCAAAGCCCTGAGAAAGTAAACATCTTGGCCAAGATCAACCTGCTTTTTGTGGCTATCTTCACAGGCGAGTGCATCGTCAAGATGACTGCCCTGCGCCACTATTACTTCACCAACAGCTGGAACATCTTTGACTTCGTGGTTGTCATCCTCTCCATTGTGGGTGGGTATGCAAAGCAGATGAGGAGCCTTCCCAAGCCAGTGCTGTCCTCTAGCTCTGGGCCTCTACTTATTGTGAAGTATAGCACTAGGCTCCTTTATCCTTTCTCTGCATTCCTCATCCCTAGGCACACACACACACACACACACACACACACACACACACACACACACCCCTCCCAAGAGAACTTGTCTAGGAGATCCCATGCAGGCCAAAGGAGTTGACCTAGCAGAGGACCCAGCACCCTGTCCCGTCCCCACCTTCTAGAGGACCTGAAGCACAACTCTGGCTGCTCAGAAAGCTTCCAGTGTGCCTGGGAAAGGGAATGAGAGAGGTGGAGACTCTCTGGCCCTCCAAAGGAAAGCTCCAGGTTGAAAAATCAAGTCACTGGGTAAGTTTCCAGGGATAGAAGGTCAGTGGCCTGCTAGGTCAGCAGTCATCCCTTCAAGTGGAACTTTTTCTCAACCCGAAGAGAATTCTACTCACTCAGTAGTCATTCTCTATGTTCTCTCTCCCTCAGCTTCTGGCAGCCAATAATCTAAAATTTTGAGGGACTACCAAACTGTTTTCCAGAGTGGTTGCATCATTTTCCATGCTTATCATTAATCTATAAGAATTCCCTTTCCACCAACACATGTTGTTCTCTCTCTCTCTCTCTCTCTCTCTCTCTCTCTCTCTCTCTCTCTCTCTTTCTCTCTACTATAGCCATCCTAGTGGGTATGAAGTGATTTCTCGTGAAGTTTTGGGTTATACTTTCCTGGTGATTAATGATGCTGGACATCTCTTCATGTGCTTATTGTCCATTTTTATATATTCCTTGGAGAAATTTTTGTTCAAGTCTTTTGCTTCACTTTTCAAACTGAATTAATTAATTTTTTATTATTAAGTAGTGAGAATTCTTTCCATATTCTAAGTACTAATCCCTTATGAAATGTACGACTTGCAAATATTTTCTCCCTATCTGTGAGGTTTGGTAGTGTTCATTGACACACAAGAATGTTTAATTTTAATGAAAATTAATTTATTTAATAGATTTTTTTCTTTTGTCACATTGTGCTCAGAGCCCAAACTCTTTATCTTACTCTCAGGAGTACCTCTACCTTTTGAGTGACTGACTTCTGTCTTCCCACCTCTGATGCAGAGGCTGAGGCAGCAAGGCTGCCACTCCTGTAATGGGCAGCTAGTTAGAAGCAAGACGGAAGGTCAGGAATGCCCTAAGGTCTCAGGTGGAGGGGGTGGTGGCAGTGCCTCACAGAGCTGGAGAGACCCTTTAGACAATGCAGGACACTGGCAGCAGGAGTGAGCCATGTGTCACAGGAGGCTTTAATACAGATGCAACATATGTGAAACACCAGAAGCCATGGTTAAGAGGCCAGCCTGGAGCCAGTGTGTCTGGGTTCAAATCCCTGCTTCTCACTCCAGTGGCAACTTGAGTAATTTATTTCACCTCTCAGTTTTCCTCTTCTGGAAAATGAGGGTGATGCTATCAGCTCACTTTTCCAGGGTGATGGGAAGGTCAGACTAGAATGATGACCATAACATGCTTGGCTCAGTGCCCTACTGACACATGTTAGCCAGCAAGTGACTACTATATTCAGTTCTGGAAATGTCACTTGGACCAATATAAGGCTAGTTTACTTCACACATTCTCCTATAATTTATGCCCAAGTCCCCCAAAACTCCAAATCCAGGTAGTCACTAGAGACCCTTCACTGAGGAGGCCCTGGAAGGAAACAGAGTTGAAAGGTGACAGGAATTATCATAGAAAGGTGGAGAGAAGCCACTGAGGCATGGTGTGGTGTTGGGAGCATGGGCTTAGGGGAAGTGTTTCTTGCCTCTCCCTTACATACATGAATTGTCCAGGCTTGTTAAAAAGAAATGGGCTGGGGTTAGAGCTTAGATTTTGCATTTCTATTAGGCACCCAGAGCCCATGATCTCTGGCCTTCAGACTGCATTCTGAGCAATAAGATGCTACGTGAGTCCCCCTCTAGCCTCAGACTCCATGGTGTAGAAGGTGGAAACAACTCTTATGCAAGTGTACCCAGAGCTTTGCTAGGGATGCAGGGAGGCGGGGGAGGCAGAGTCCAGCATGCTTGTTGGACCTGGTCCTCCTGGAAAAGCCTTTTCCCCTGGATCCTCATTGAGCAGAGAGGTGCTGGCCTGGGAGGAGGACAGGGTTCTGTCAGTGGCCAAAGCCCTGCTGCTCCCCACAGGCACTGTGCTCTCTGACATCATCCAGAAGTACTTCTTCTCCCCGACGCTCTTCCGAGTCATCCGCCTGGCCCGAATTGGCCGCATCCTCAGATTGATCCGTGGGGCCAAGGGAATCCGCACGCTGCTCTTTGCCCTCATGATGTCCCTGCCTGCCCTCTTCAATATTGGGTTGCTGCTCTTCCTCGTCATGTTCATCTACTCCATCTTTGGCATGGCCAACTTTGCTTATGTCAAGTGGGAGGCTGGCATTGATGACATGTTCAACTTCCAGACCTTTGCCAACAGCATGCTGTGCCTCTTCCAGATCACCACCTCAGCCGGCTGGGATGGCCTCCTCAGCCCCATCCTCAATACAGGACCCCCCTACTGTGACCCCAATCTGCCCAACAGCAATGGCTCCCGGGGCAACTGTGGGAGCCCAGCTGTGGGCATCCTCTTCTTCACCACCTACATCATCATCTCCTTCCTCATCGTGGTCAACATGTACATCGCCATCATCCTGGAGAACTTCAGTGTGGCCACAGAGGAGAGCACTGAGCCCCTGAGTGAAGATGACTTTGACATGTTCTATGAGATCTGGGAGAAGTTCGACCCAGAGGCCACCCAGTTCATCGAGTACTCAGCCCTATCCGACTTTGCAGATGCCCTATCTGAGCCTCTCCGTATCGCCAAGCCCAACCAGATCAGCCTCATCAACATGGACCTGCCCATGGTGAGTGGAGACCGCATCCACTGCATGGACATCCTCTTTGCCTTCACCAAGAGGGTCCTGGGGGAGTCTGGGGAGATGGATGCCCTAAAAATCCAGATGGAGGAGAAGTTCATGGCAGCCAACCCATCAAAGATCTCCTATGAGCCCATCACCACCACGCTGCGGCGCAAGCATGAAGAAGTGTCAGCCACAGTCATCCAGCGGGCCTTCCGGAGGCACCTGCTGCAGCGTTCTGTGAAACATGCCTCCTTCCTCTTCCGGCAGCAGGTGGGCAGCAGCGGCCTCTCGGAAGAGGATGCCCCTGAGCGAGAGGGCCTCATCGCCTACATGATGAACGAGAACTACTTCTCCCAGCACAACGGGCCGCCCTCCAGCTCCTCCATTTCCTCCACATCCTTCCCACCCTCCTACGACAGTGTCACCAGGGCCACTAGTGATAACCTCCAGGTGCGGGTGTCTGACTACAGCCACAGTGAGGATCTTGCAGACTTTCCCCCATCCTCAGACAGAGACCGAGAGTCAATAGTATGAGCCCAGCCCCACCGGCCAGGACACATGCTCTTGTACCTTGGCAAATCTGAATGCAGTCAAAACCAGCATGCAGGGGCCTTCCTGGCCTTCGGCTTCAGGGGTAAGAGATGGGCTCAGCCTGCGGCTCCACATGGTGGAGCTCTGTGGTGTTGCCATCAGCCGGAAGCAGCAAAGGAGCCCACTGTTCTGGAGGCTGTCCCTGGAGCTCTGTGCAAACCAGGGGCCTGGCCTGGCCAGGCAGCACCCTGGGCTCTGCAAAGCATCATCATCACAGCTGTTGAGGTGAAACATAAAATAGACTATGCGTGTTGTGAACAGGCTTTCGTAAATTTATTATATTTGATATTTTTTTTACTCGAGCAAAGGACTAATGTTTTTTCCATAGATGTTGGCAGCCATTCAAGCTGCGTCTTCTTAATCCCAAACAGGAGTGTCTAAGAAACTGCCAGATTCTGTCTGCAAAGCAAAACCGGGATGCAGTATGGCTCCCGGGGGCCTTCCCCACCGAGGAGGGGCAGGTCCTCTGCTGCTTGGGCTGAGTAGCCAGGGGATGAGGCACATTCACAAGTGTGTACACACACTCCTCCCACACGAGGCCAGACCCAGGCCCCAGAGGGCCCGGGCTCCCCCTGTTCCCGCCTCCTTGGGTTCTGTCAGCGGGGCTCATTTTTGGCTTTCCATTCTCCCCAGGGACCTGTTTTTCCCCTATGTTTTTATGCAGGCCATACTGGTCAGTCTTATGAAAATAGAAAGCTTCCAGAAGACTGGCCTGGGCCCCAGCGCTGGTCTTGGACATGGATGCTGCCCTTCCATCCCTCCTATAAGAGTATTAAGACTATACCTGGTGAGAATGAGGGCACAAGCCCCACTCACAGTTGGGCTTGCAGCTGTCCTTACTCACAGAACCTGACAGGTCTTGCCTGCCAGCACAGGAATGAGAAGGCTGAGCCCTGAGGTCTGGGCTCAGTCTATCCCTGCATGTCTGTGGTGGCCTGCAGGACTGTATGAAGAAAGGAAGCTGCTGCTCTCTGCTAGCCCCTCCCCAGAACTGTGCACTCTGGCCATGTGCAGAGGGAACCCTGCCTAGGTCCCAGCCTTTCTCCTGATGGACATCCTCTTTGCCTTCACCAAGGCAGTGTGATGAATAGGGAGGAAACAGCTTCCAGGATGGCCGGGCTGGTTCTTGTCTTTGGGAGGGGACAAAACTTTGACCTCCTCTGGAAAAGGAGGCCAGAGTCTGGTGCACCATGTGCAGGACTTCCTTGGGACAGGGTTTGGGATGCCTCATAGGTCTCGCAAGAAGGCTTTTTCAGGGAAAAAACCTTACTAGTTCAATTACCCCCAGGACCTCTATAGCTGCTGACAATCCTATTTAGCATATGCAAATCTTTTAAAGTAAAACACTGTCGCTGCTGCGAGGTGACAGGGTCGCTGGTGGAGCCTGAGCACACAGGAGCCCTGCTGTCCAGTCAGCTCCTCAGCAGAGCTGACCTCTGTGGGGTGTCCACCTCACAAGCCAGCTCAGTCTCACCTGCCTGCGCTAGGCTGGCTGCTCCTCACCTACCTCGCTGCACTGTCAGAGGGCTGGACATTCATGATGCTCATGGCTGTGCTGAAGGAGGGCATTGCCAGCAAATAAAGTATTATGTTTCCTCTTGTCACCCCGGTCCCCTAGGGGGCAACCCCACCCCCACCCGCCCCACTCCTACAGACTCCTCCCACGTTCCCTTCAAGTCCAGCGTGGGACTTGGTTTTAACTGTCCTGGTGACACTTTTCCGAATGGAAATCTTATTTTTGTAGACCTGTGCTTGGCTTTCAAGGCTTGGAGAGGTGTGTCCTCAATACCCCTGCACAGCAGGACCACAGCCAGGCCACCTGCCCACTGCTGGAAGGAGACTGGTTTGTGTGTGGACAGCCTGGGAGCCTCACACCTGTTCCAGGGCCGGCTGCAGGTGGCAGCCGAGGGCAGGGACAAGCTGGCTGAGCAGGTCAGTGTGGCACTCTTTTTTTCTCCAGAACTGCACGGTGACCAGCAGGAGGGGGAAAAGGAGGAGGAGGGGGAAGTGACATGCCTCAAGTGCCAGATGCTGTTGAACTAACTGAGCACTTCTCACCAAACTTCATGTATAAATAAAATACATATTTTTAAAACAAACCAATAAATGACTTATATGACCTGGTCTGGGCTCTATTCTTTTTTTTTTTTTTTCATTAAAATGATTTTTTAAATTTATTTTTTAAAATTTTTTAAATTGATGTTATTGAGAAAGAAATAGCAATGAGACAGTTTCAAAACAGGTTAGTAGGAGTTACAATAATTAATACATTGCATATAGTAGTTATTCATAGTAAAAGATGCAGATATAATATCTTGTCTAAAAACTATTAGTACAAATCTTCTCATTGAACTAAGAGAAAGTAGCTGTATATCCTATTTTGTACATACAGATATATATATTTTTCACTACAAATTGTCCTTCATTTATATCCCCCTTTTTTGTTTAGTTTTGTCAGAGATGGGTATTCCATTGCATTCAAATATTGTAGGTGCATGAATTCAGCAAAATAATCCAATATAGTCCAGTAATCCATAATAGTAATGGGTTATCCACAGAACTGGTGATGTCAGAAGTTGTTGACTTGAGCCTTGTACAGCTCGGCATGCTAATATGGCTTTACTTTTTATACCTCGAGTTTATACTTCAAGATGGGCTCTGTTTTTCTACTCAAACTTTACAGGATTGGTGGCAGCTTCCTGAGAAGGCCACCAGGAGGAGCTGGAGCAAGACTGGAGGGCAGTACTGGGGGTTAGGGTCATTCCAAGAACTATGAAGGACTTCAGGGTTTTTTCCCTGGACAGTGACTGGAAAGATGGACCACACCAGCACAAGTGGGGTGTGGGCAAAGCAATATGCTCCTGCAATTGGACACGTGGGCACCCTAAGGCGATGGCCCCACCCAGTCAAGCCAGGGGCAGTCCCCAGGACAGAACTTGGATCTGCAAAACCTGGTTCTGGCCTCCTCGTCCGCCCCTCCCCTCACTTCACAGTATGCTGTGGCTCCATGCTGCCAGCCCACCACCTACCAAAAGCACCCAACCAGTCTGCAGGACCTCTGTCTCAGTTACTTTTCTGTCACTGCTGGGACAAAATACCTGACACACAATATTAAGGAAGGAAAGGTTTATTTAGCTCACAGTTAGTGGAGGTTTCAGTCCCTACTCAGCTGGCTCCAAGGCAGGGTGGCACGTGGTAGAGGACAACAGTTCATGGCAGCAGAAGACAGCAAAGAGCAAAGGGAGGAGCTGTGTGGCAGCAGCAGAGAGCAGAGAGAGAAAGCCTCTCTCCTTTCCTTATACTACATTCAGGCTGTCTGCCCCAGGGTGGGTGTAGCACTCACACCCATAATCCCAGTATTGGATTTTGAATTAAAATCACAACCTCTAGGGCTGGCGAGATAAGATAGCTCAGTGGACTAAGCACCTGCTTTGGCAAGCCCAGGGACCATGGTTCGATCCCTGATCCTGCATGCCATGCTGACCCTGCCCTAAGGGCACACTGAGCTGGTGACTGAGTCTGGGCGTGGTGACACATGCCTGTAATCCCAGCACTGGGGCAGGTGAAAACAGATCGCTGTGAGTCTGAGCTGCATAGTAAGACCCTGTACCAAACACATAAATGAAAAAAAAAAAAAAAAAAAACAGAACCCCTAAAAGTCTACCCCATGATTGTATGAGGCCTTGGGGGGACAACAAGAGAAACCAAACCACCTCCCAAGCCTAGATGCAGAGGCTCCTTCTTTTCTGCCCACATCTAGGCCTGTCTACAGCATTTAACTCAGTGGCAGCAGCCCTTCTCTGGAAATTCTCCCTCCCCTGACTTCCATGGCCACATCTTCTGCAGCATTTCTCCTCTCCTTCATTTTACTCTTCTCATTGCTGGGATAAAATACATAACACCCAAAGTTAAAGAAGGGAAGGCTTATTTAGCCCACAGCTTATAGAGGTTCAGTCTATAATCAGCTGGCTCTAAGGCAGGGTGGCGTGGCAGAGGGGCAACACCTCCTGGTAGTGGGAAGAAGCAAGCTTCTATCTGTTATATTGTATGCAGGCTACCTGCCCTAGGGCTGCTGTAGCACTCACACTCCCAATCATACAACTAGGCCATGAACCAATCACAAACCCTAGATTCAGGCCTCTCCAAAACACCTGGCCCTTCCCCATAACTACATGAGGCTTTGGAAGGTCATCCAGATGCAACACGTAACATTCCACCCTGGCCCACCAAAGACTCATGTACATTCCTTTACCAAAAAAAAAAAAAAGAAAAGAAAAGAAAAAGAAAAACAAGAAAGAAAGAAAGAAAGAAAGAAAGAAAGAAAGAAAGAAAGAAAGAAAGAAAGAAGAAAGAAAGAAGAAAGAAAGAAAGAAAGAAAGAAAGAAAGAAAGAAAGAAAGAAAGAAAGAAAGAGAAAGAAAAAAAAGAAAAGAAAGGCATTTGGTCCATCTTTAAGAGTTGCTAAAGTCCAAACAGTTTCCACATTGCTGAAAAGTCTAAATCCCAAGTCTCTTCTGAGATTGAAGGCAAACTCTTAGCTGTTTGAAAAGAAAGTCAAACACTTCCAACATTCAGCGGCACAAGATAGACATTTCCATTCCAAAAGTTACAAACTGGGATACAAAGGAATGGGACCAAAGCAAGTGCAAAATCTAGCAAGGCAGACACTAAGTTCTGTAGTTCCATGTGCAGCACCTGGAGTAATCTGTGGCAAGACATAAACTCCGAAGGGCTAGAATGGCTCTACCCTACAGCATTTCTGGGGGTTGTAGCTCCCGTGGCTTCTCTCCTAGGCCCACTCTGCACCCTCCTTGTAGTTTCCCATAATCCGCATTCCTGGTTTCTCCAAACTTCTAGGGCTCCCACTACACCTTTGGCTTTACACTCACAGGCTCACACACAGCCCTGTCAGGGGCACACTGCCTGGCCTCCTGGATCTCCTAAAATCTGGTGGAAGCCTTCCTAGCCCCACAACTCTTAATTCTGTGTGTATCTAAAATGAGTGCTACATGAATGTTGCCAAGGTCTGCTGCCAGGTGGAGCAGTTGTTAGGCTTCTTTCTCTCTTAGCTGTAGGGTTCAAGTGCTTAGATTGCTGAACACTTTAAACCAAATTCTAAGGAACAAATTCTCTATGATGCTGTCATTCTGGAACATGGTACTCTGTAGCTTTCTTCTTAAAGAAAATTCTTTTACTTTTGCAATTTTGAGGCTCCAAGGGTGGAGTCTGGCTGCCCCTTGGGATGCCCTCAGGCTATCTTTTCTATTGTGTTCCTTATCAGAAATGAAGATCTACTCTACTCTATTTTTGCACTCTATACCTTTACTGAAGCTTCCTTTCTGGCCAAACTCATGTTTTAAATCATCATGCTGAGTTCTCCACTCTTGATTCACAACATAAATCTGGCTAAAAGCTGCCAACAGTAGCCATGCCACCACCACATTAGAATTCCTTGAAATTTCTTCTGTCAGATGAATTAGTCTGCTACCCTTAATCTCAGGCAAAGTCTCTGGACACAAGAAAAATGCAGAAAAACTTCCCGCCAAGCCATAACATATATCTGGAGTCCAATAGACAATAAAATCCTCCTTCATAGCACAAACTTCTCAGGTCTTTACTGTCAGGATTTCTACCAGCCTCCCGGTCTTCTGAGCTCTGATCAGAATCTCCCATACAGAACAGCCTGAGGCATTCCAGCTCTGCTTTTTCAGTCAGGATCTCCAAATCTTTTCAAATTCTTCCCACAAGCCATTCCCTAAGGCTCCTGAACCACATGGTCAGGTATAGTCACAGCAATGACCCTACTACTGGTACCAAATTCTTACTTTTCTTGTTTCAGGGACAAAATACTCAACACCCAAATTTAAAGGAGGGAAAGCTTATTTAGCTCACAGTTTGTAGAGGTTGCAGGCTATAATCAGCTGGTGCTATGGCATGGTGGTGTGACAGAGGAATAACAGTTTATGGTGGTGGAAGAATCTAAAAGCAACAAGAGAGGAGAGGAGAGCAAGCATGTTTCCGCCCCTTATATTGTATGTAGGCTACCTGCCCTGGCATTTATGTAGCACTTATACCTCCAACCCCAGCACTAGACCATGACTCAATCATAAATTCTAGATCCAACCATCTCCAAAAAGCCCACCCCCATGAGTGGGCCTGAGGCTTTGGGGGGACATAAATTGTGGTAAGATGCATATAAAATGTATCATCTTAACAATTTTAATTATATAGTTAAAAATATTAAAATCATCTGGATGCACAACCACCACTACTTTCCATCCCCAAAATTCTTCGTCTTGCAGAACTGAAAGTCTATAATCCATTGAACACTAACCCCTCAGTCCTTCCTTCCCCAGCCTCTGACAATCACTACTCTATGTCCATCCTATGATCTTGACTATTCTGTGTGTTTCAGATAATTGGGATCACACTGCATTTGTGCATTCCATCACAGAGCATAATGTCCCCAGGGTAATCCATGCCAAGACCTGTGTAGCAATGTCCTTTGTTTTTAAAGATGAATAATATTCCTTTTTATACATAAACTAGATTTTGTTTATCTACTAGATGGATGCAGATGATGCTTCCATATCATTTTTGTTGTGAACAGAGCTTTTTTGAACATGAGTGTACAAGGACCTCTTCCAAAGCCTCCTTTGAACTCTTCTAGGTCTTTATTCATAAGTCAAGTTGCTAAACAGACAGTATTAATCATTTCATCTTGTGAAAAGCTGACAAGCTGTATTTCGAGGAAATGTGCCTTTTCCAACTGCAGAACAGCTCCATTTCTTCCACATCCTCACCAGTGTTTGTTGTTTCTAGTTTTTCTTTTGATACAGCACCAGTCCCAATGAGTATGAGATAGTATCTCCTTGTAGCCTTGATTTATGTTTTCCTAGTATCTGGGGATGTTGAGTATCTGTCCTGGTATGGTCCTACGTTACCTTTCTATGGACTTATTGACCATTTATAAATATTCTTTGGAAAAATATCTGTAGCAAGTCCTTTGACTATTTTTATTTTTTTTTTCAAAGTTTTATTGACAAACAGATAGCAATGAGACAGTTTCAAATCATATCGGAAGGACAGTTTCAA